AACTCTATTGCAGCTCAGCTCTGAACACAGCAGAGAGATCTGGGGATCTATAGCCAACAAGCAGGGTAAAGGGGTCAGTGGTCAGAAAATTACTAAGAGGAGACATCAAGGGTAGGGAGATTTTGCTAAACTGGTTGCTCCTGCTAGCAGCACATGCTTGTCTCAAAGATTAAACTATGCATGTCTAAGTGCACAGGCTGGTACAGTGAAACTATGGATTGCTCATTAAATCAGTTATGGTTCCTTTGGTCACTCACTCTTCTACTTGGTTAAATAACTGGTAATTCTAGACTTTCTTGCAGCAGGGATGTGTGCATTTATCAGATCAAAACCAAGGTCAAAACAGAATTCTTGCAAAAAGAAGGCCAAGGAATTAGCTGTAAATAGTGAGGATTAGGAACTTGATCAGATATCAAGAGTTAATGAGGTATCAAGAGTGGGGGCATTCTTGATAAATTGACTTAGCAGGATTCTTGCTAAAATTGGACCTGGAAAGGGCAAGAGAGACTTGGAAGGCCAAAATTGAGGCCTAGTTAAGAAGAGGGCTAAGAGGAATGTAACTGAAGTTTGGTCAAGGAGAAAGTCTTTATCATAGCTCAAATTTGATGTTTTTTTGCTCTTTTCCCCTCTTATTATTTGATTAAAGACTGACAACTTAAAGTAACTTTCCTCAGCTTTTTAATGCAATGTAGGTTTTTCTTTACTTTTACTTCAAAACGTATGATGTGTACCTATTCACGAAAAAAAAATTTAAGAAATAAATCGTACAACATATTCTCATTATTTCTGCATTTCCTTAAATGAGACATAGTATGTAGTCTTCATTAATTATTTCAATTAGAACTTTGGCTCACAGACACATTACTAACAGACCAATTTTAGTAAAATGAAATGAGATTGTGAGCACTACAGCTTCTATAAAACCTGAATCGGTGTGACCAAAACACTGATCGTTAACAGGACCTGCCGTTCCTATATAATATGCACTTAAGATACTTCAAAAGCAAACTTCTATTCAGATAACTTAAAAGGTGACATTGCAGTGGCTTTTAATCAGACTAGAATCAGAGAAGGGAAAATGCATGTATAGTTCATTTTAAAATGCAAACCTGTGCAGTCCCCAACCTAAGAACCTAAGAGAATCCCAAAGTCCCTTTGCTGTGTAGATTTTTTGGTTCTGCAAACACGTTTTCTCCTCAGAAGCAACATCACAATGATAGCTAACAGGTTAGTCCCAAGAGACTGTTTAGCCCATTGAACTTTATATAATTGAACTTATAATATTAATAGTAACCATAAGCCTTTCTGAACCTGTGATTGGGAGGAAGAGACGGAAAGGGGCTTGAGCTTTGGCACCAGCAGTTTCTGGTTGTACTGAGGAGGGGGTGATGGGAGTGGAGGAGACTCTGGTAGAAACAGCTTGCTTGTGAAGAAGTGGGGAATGCATCTGAGACTAGGGGTGCAGTGATTATTTAGTCTGTAAGTCTGCAGTGCTTGGTAAATGAATGTACCTTAAAAATACTCCAACTTGACATGTACTTTTTGAAAGGCTTATCACAGTAAATATAGCTCTTTAGGCAAACATGCAGTTTATTAAAGTGGTTCAGTTACCATGGCAACATATCTGGAATTTATAGCTCCTTATTTTGAGAGGGCTTCATTTCCACTTTCTGAGGCACTGAAATCCAAGGCTAAAGTTCTTAACAGCCTCCAGTCTCATTGTATGAATTTTTAGTCTTTAGAAAACTTAGACGTACGAAATGTAGCTTGGAGAGAATCAGTCTTGTGACTTGATAGTCATATGCATGAATTTTAAATTGGTAGTTTTCAATTTTAAAATGTTCTAAAATGTTTCCTATTTAAAAACTTTTTAATTATTATCAAAGCTACATATGATCATAATTTAATGAGGAGAAATAGAAATTTTGAAAAAAATAACAGTCCCCTAAATTTATTCTCTGGAGGCAACCACGGTCTTTTCTTGTAGCTGATTTTGAAGGATTTACTTAGATCCCTCAGCAATGGGTTTATCTTGCTTCTTGGTTTGTATTACTGCTTGCTTTGTAATTTTAGGTGTCATCAATTGGTTTCTCTATATGAAAGATAAAATTCTATCTAAAATAAAAATTTTAGCTCTTTCAGTCTTCAGCCCAGCCGCACGCCCAGACCTTTCCCCTGTTCCCATTCTTCAAACAGTGATAGATAGGGAGATAGACAAATTGATAGATTAATGGATCAATAGATAGAAATGGATGAAGAGATAGAAAGTTACAGTTTTACTAATTTTATGTAAATTCATACTAATTTTGGCTTGATCAATATTCAACCTGTACATTATTAGAACCATGTTTATAATATTTACAGATGAACAATGCAGTATACTGTGATATGTTTTTTTCTTTTATGACTCATTTCTCACTAATTCAGCCTCAAACTTTACCTTAGTTGCCCAGTCTCCTCTCAGTATCTTTAAATGTTAGCATGGCGTCAGTTTATCCACTTAACAAACTTTCTCCTGTAGCATTTGATCAGCTGCAGTCTGGACAGTCTTTCTTTAGGTTTGCTGTGAAGCTCTCATCAGGGATTTTTATTTATTTCTCCCTTGTGCTGAATTACTCCTTTACTTTTCTATTCCCTTGTTTTGCTGTACGTTTTCCTCCAAGAGAGGGTACGTTGGCAGTAAATTGTTTGAGACTCTGCATATCTGAAAATGCCTTTGTTGTACTTTTGTATCTGATTTTTAATTTGGCTGAATATGAATTGTTAGTTAGAAATCATTTTCTCTCATTCAGTACTGATGTTGATAGGCAATGCCATTCAGATTTTTTATTCTGTTTTGTTTCTGTGAAATCTGTTCCTCCCCTCTCTAGAAACTTGTAGAGTTCTCTTTGTTCCCATTGTCCTAACATTTTATGATTATGGACCTTGCCCTGGGTCCATTTTCACCCATTATGAAGGATCTTCATTGGGCATTTTCCAGTTTCCATTTTGGAAACTTCCAGTTTTAAGTTCTGTAAAATATTCTTTTATTTTTTAATTATTATTTCCATTTTTTCTGTGTTGTTTTCTAGAACTTTTATTATTCACATATTGTTTTCATCATCTGGTTCTATAATTATATTTTATATTTTCTCTATTATTATTTTATATTTCCATCTACTTCCTGGAAGATTTCCTCAGCTTAGTAACCAGTAGATTTTTCATTTCTGCTATTATAGTTTTAATTTCCAACAGAATTCTGCCCCACTCCCCCTACTCTTTTTTTTTTTTTTCCTGTTGTTATAGTTTGGTTTTTTTCTCTCTCTGCATTGTTGATCTATTCATGTTGCTTTCCACAAATGTCTGGTGGGTGGTTTTGTTTGCTTGCTTTTATTTACAAGACTTTAAATGCTAACTAGGAACTCTTCATGGATATGTAAAGTTTCCATGTTTATTGAAGCATAATAATTAAGTGATCTGATTGGGATGTCTTGTTGAGGAACCCCAATATCAGTATCTTTCGTCTTTTTTTACTGGTCTGGTTTTCCTGAAAAGAATCATGTTACATGATTCTTCTCCCTCGCCTCAGTCTCTGTTTGGGGACCCTAGGAAATAAAAAAAAGTGGAGAGAGAGGCTCAGATCTCACCATTTGTTATGTAACTTACATCTAATCCCCTTGATTCTTGCAGGATGACCTACCATCTTTGTAGGATCCCTCCATCTGGGTAACCTCTGTTTTGCCCTCTCCAGAAAACAAATTTATAGTTTTCTTCCAGGATGAATTGGGAGGTCACCTCTTATGGAATGGGTAGAGAAAGGCTGTGGATCAGCACAGCACATATTCAGCTACCTAAACATTTTTTCAAACAGTCCTCCTAATTTTAGCCACATCCCTATCCTCACTTCCAGAGGTGACATTTCCTGATCCTTTTCTGATCACGCCTTTTTAAACCAGGTACTTCTCAACACTCACTCCATACTGGCAGTTTAAGAACTGTCAGATTGGCTAATCAGTTACCAGGCGTCTGTCTGCTTTTTCACTTGCAAAGTTTTGTTGCTATTGATCCCTCTCCAACCTCTTTTTCTCTATACATTTTTCTCTCATTTAAATATAGCACTGAGGAGTAGAGGTTAAATATATTCAGCCTGCTATCTTTTCCCAAAATGTCTAATTTTTTTTTAACAGTTAAGAGATACTGTATTCGTGTTTTAAATTTAATTCTTGCTATCCACTTTAAATTTAACTCCTATTTAACTCGTCCCATATTGATTTCTTATGCTTCACCGGTAACCTGGCCCCTAGCTCGCTAAGGAAAGCCTATTCAGTACTAGCTTTCCTGATTTCTCCCTTCTGCCTCCGTGTTCTCTCTCACCTCCCTTCTGCGCTCTTAATGCCATCACTCCAGCCTCTTCTGCAGCCTGCTCCATCCTGGAGGCAAGCACAAGCCCCTCATTTCTCGTTTTTCTCAGCCTTTCTACACCTTTCACAGCCTTTTTGTGAATCTACCTTAGTTTCTTAGTTAAATGAAAAAACCACTCTCCTTAACCCTTAAACTTCAGCTCAGTTTTCTTATTCTTTTTCAGTTTCTCTCCCACACACACAGAATGCCATTTGTTTGACTTTTTATCTTCAATTTTCTCCTTCACTCTATTCCACTTACTCCTCTATATGAGCTTTTTTATTTTTGAAAATTACTTTCTGAACAAAACCACCAACTGCTTCCTCACCACGGCTTACTTGACTACCCACTTTGCTTTGAGACTCCTTCCCTATCTTGTTTTTTTCCATCTAAATTCTTATCTTGTTCTTATTTTACTTCTCAGTTTTTTCCCCTCTCATGTTCCTCTTCTTTCACGTGTCGCTTTAGGTGTGGGCTTCTACTATAGGCTGCCTTGAGGACAAAACAGTTAAAGTTCATAGAAGCTTACTGATTTTCAGGCTTTTCTTGCTTTGTTAAAGTGGCATGATTTCTTATAAACATTTTTATGACATTAATGAGGTTTAACTTTTTATATTTAGGCAGGTGCTGTAAAGGATTATATTAAGATGATGCTTCAGAATGATTCACTTAAATTTCTGGTTTTTGCTCACCATTTAAGCATGCTCCAAGCTTGCACAGAAGCAGTTATAGAAAACAAGGTAGGTTTCCATTTATTTATAAAACACTACTTAGGATGCAGTTTTTATATCCTAAACATCAATTGTAGTTTTTATAATTGGGGTGGGTTTTTTTTTTGCCTTCTTCAGATTATGGGATGTATATCTATAAATTATTATTACATATTTTATTGCAAATTATACAAATGTATATATTTTAAAAATTATACTAATATTGGGATCAACAGGGGCCACAATGGTAAAGAATCCTGCTGCCAATGCGGGAGACGCAAGAGACACAGGTTTGATCCCTGTGTTGGAAAGATCCCAGTAGGAAATGGCAACCTACTCCAGTATTCTTGGCCTAGAAAGTTCCATGGACAGAGGAGCCTGGCGGGCTACAGTCCATGGGTTCACAGAGTTGGTCACGACTGACCATGCACATAGACGCTAATATATTTCCATTGTGTTGATAATATACTACTAATATTTCCCTTTTATACCAGTCATAATACCCCACTGATCAAATTGGATGGATGGATTGAACTATGCTGCCTTGATAGGCTATCATGCGAATTTTGTTTCTGTTATTGGATATACCATTTGAGATTGGTATAGGCAGTTAAAATTGTTTACCCACATGGTGACCTAGACTGTGGGTGATTTTGAGGGGAAAGGAAGAATAAATTTAGACAGTTTTGTTACCCAGCTGCAGTCATACTTTTTAAACATCTAGGCAGCCTACTTTATAGAATATTTTATTAAGATTTAGTGTGGGCGAGTCGGAAACATACGCCCAGGTAAGCACCATGAAACCTGCTGGCTTCATGGCCTTTGGGTCCACCTTGTTCCCCAACAGCACTATCAGAACAGCATCTGCCGTTTTTTCTTTCCAAGTTTAAACCTGTCGCCCCTCTGTCAGTGCTAAGGCCTTCTTGAGATGCTCCGGATCAGCCAGAGGAAGTTCCTGGCAAATTATAAGAGCTTAATATCCATGTAATATCAGAACCTCTTGCTGGTGCAGGTAGCTTTTTTTTAAAGGGAGGAATAAAGCCATGTTTTTTAAAACTTTGTGTACTTTTTTGAAGTATTTGCTAATTAGTCATTAACATTACCAAAGGAATAATTCTAGTCTTTCCTTCATAGATGGATTTATGATAATATATGAATGCTATATATTAAAGGGATGCTTCCTCATTATCATATAGTATCTGTGATAGAGCCTCTGAGGAAGAATTAATTAGCCTTAGAAATAATTTTTAAATGATTGAACAATATTTGATTTTTAATTCTGATTCCGTTATACCTTAAAACTATTTGAGCCTGGCGGGCTACAGTCCATGGGTTCACAGAGTTGGTCACGACTGACCATGCACATAGACGCTAATATATTTCCATTGTGTTGATAATATACTACTAATATTTCCCTTTTATACCAGTCATAATACCCCACTGATCAAATTGGATGGATGGATTGAACTATGCTGCCTTGATAGGCTATCATGCGAATTTTGTTTCTGTTATTGGATATACCATTTGAGATTGGTATAGGCAGTTAAAATTGTTTACCCACATGGTGACCTAGACTGTGGGTGATTTTGAGGGGAAAGGAAGAATAAATTTAGACAGTTTTGTTACCCAGCTGCAGTCATACTTTTTAAACATCTAGGCAGCCTACTTTATAGAATATTTTATTAAGATTTAGTGTGGGCGAGTCGGAAACATACGCCCAGGTAAGCACCATGAAACCTGCTGGCTTCATGGCCTTTGGGTCCACCTTGTTCCCCAACAGCACTATCAGAACAGCATCTGCCGTTTTTTCTTTCCAAGTTTAAACCTGTCGCCCCTCTGTCAGTGCTAAGGCCTTCTTGAGATGCTCCGGATCAGCCAGAGGAAGTTCCTGGCAAATTATAAGAGCTTAATATCCATGTAATATCAGAACCTCTTGCTGGTGCAGGTAGCTTTTTTTTAAAGGGAGGAATAAAGCCATGTTTTTTAAAACTTTGTGTACTTTTTTGAAGTATTTGCTAATTAGTCATTAACATTACCAAAGGAATAATTCTAGTCTTTCCTTCATAGATGGATTTATGATAATATATGAATGCTATATATTAAAGGGATGCTTCCTCATTATCATATAGTATCTGTGATAGAACCTCTGAGGAAGAATTAATTAGCCTTAGAAATAATTTTTAAATGATTGAACAATATTTGATTTTTAATTCTGATTCCGTTATACCTTAAAACTATTATAATCTATTCCAAGTGTGTCTCTTCTTCCCGCTCCCACTATACTGGTGTGTTTAGAATTGCGTTTAATGCTACCGAGAGTTAAAAATGTAGGTAGTCATGGTGTTGGAGGTTAATTTCTCCCAAACTCTCCTTTGCCTGACAGTATGTTTTCTTTAGAAAGACCCTCAGAAGATTTTATAGTCTCCATTGATTGATCACTGGTCAATTTATATCTGTTTATAAAGACATAGAAAGTTGATAAGGGAGATTCTATTAAATTATTAATTTGATGGTTCCCTTATAAAACTGTGTCTCAAGTATTTAAGGAAATATTTTCCATAAAAGTGCATATAAAAATGAGACAGTTTGAAATTCAGGGCTTATGCCTGTTTTTACAAATTTGAGTGATAAGTTTTTAAAAATGATTCTGACGTACACTGACTGCTCATATTTTCTAAACTCATATTGTTCCTAAAATACAGCATGGTTCAATTTAGTACTTAGTATTTCCTTCTTTTTTAAAAATGTGTTTGGATGTCTTGGTTCCTACCTCAGTGGAGATGACCGGATGATATATTTCTTTTAAATTTAATAATGGGAAAAATATTAATGACTCAAATACTACTTTGAAAAAGATGTTTTCCCTGTTAATGTTGCAACATTTCAGGACTACTCTTCCTAAATCTCAAATACGTGGGCTGAATCCACTTTTTCTCACATGTCTGACTTTATTTTCACTTTGGATTTAGTGGTCCTGTAACTTTAAAATTAGTCTGATCCATCTTTTAAAGTTTGCATATCATTTTACCTAGAACATTACTGAAGACAATAATCCAGGTATGATTATGGAACTCCTGTTATATCTGTGACATCACACTTGGCATTGATGGTATGAAGATGAATTAGACATAGATACCACTCTCAAGTATCTTAAAATATTTAAAAATAGGAAATTTTTATAAGCAGGTATTAAGAAATCTGGTTAAGAGTCTTTTACTAACCTATCATTCTCACCAGTTTCTGTTTTATTGTGTGAACATAAAAATAAGCTGTAACATGTATATAATAAGATGGGTACATAGGAGCTTGTCCTAATTTTGCCATTTCCCTTGTTGTTGATGGTAGACTCGTTACATCAGGATAGACGGAAGTGTTCCATCTTCAGAAAGAATACATCTGGTTAATCAGTTTCAAAAGGATCCTGAGACTCGTGTAGCTATCCTCAGCATTCAGGCTGCTGGTCAGGTAAGAAGTTTCACATCTGAATTTGATAATGAAATGTTGAGATAATAAAAAGGCCATTAACCTTAACTATAACTTCCCATCTGGTGTGATAAATACTCATTCCACCTTGGAGAGTGCTAGAAAGTGTAACAGAAGGAGACCTCAACACCTCTGATTATAAACTTCTTAAATTTTCAAGTAAAGAATATCCTGCAAGTAAAGTTAATTTCATTATAACGCTTTCCCATGATCTTTTGTATAGCATTTTGTCTTCCCTTTCTTACAGCACTTATCTGTCTTGGTTGTTTTCATCAGAGTCTGTGAGGCAAGGTGGCCTAAGGAGAAAAGAACTCTCCTGTCTTTCTGAATTTTTTGTGGAATACCCTTGGTTTGTTCCTTAGAGTTAGGTTTGGCTATAAGTAAATGAAAATGCAAATTAACAATGATTTAAGTACACAAAATTTTACTCTTGGATACAGACAGTCCAAGGCTGGTTACCACTCCTAGCAGGTATCTCTTATCTAAGAGTTCTGCTAGAGTTCATATCTATGATCCAGGAAGCTGAATGGAGAAAGGCATGCTACATCTCACTGGCCTGCAGTTATTCCCAGGACCACAACTGTCTTCAAATGAAACTGGAAACAGTAGCCTTTATTGGTCAATCAGGTATTATGTTACAAAGGAGTAAGAAAAGAATAGATATTGGTCTGTACTACCCACTGTAAAAGGGGATACTTATGAACATTTTTCCTACTAGCATTCTAGGATATTTTGATGTAAATATCTAAGCCAGGATATTTAACAGAGAGGAAAGTAATTGAGCATATTGTTGTTAAATATCCAACCTGGTATATGGCAAATCTGACAACTTCTGTGGATTCTGGAATCTGGACTGGGGCCAAAGTTCTCCTTTTAGTGAGCTAATTGATGTATATAAAATTGTCTATGTAGAGAGAATCCATGAAGATGAAGAAGTTCTAGAACTCACTAGGAGTGAGTCGGATTTCATGTTGGATCCAAACTTTCATGTTGAATTAAATTTCTAGTAGTCTGAGTTTTATATCTGTTAGAATATTTCAGCCATAGAAAATATTATCAAAAAGAGCTGAAATGGAGTACCAGTAGCTTGGGGAAGTAAGTAGAAGAATCTGAGCAGGAGAGCCTGGGAGTGACCTAGTGAAAGACTCTGAAGTTAAGGTTGTACAAGGCACTCACGTTCTATTCAAGGCTGTATTCCTGAAGGCCTTGTATAATTCAAAACTTAATACCCTTGAATACTATTAATAAAATCTTCATCAGAATGAAGGAAAGTAGAAAGGGCTTTGTCCTGGAGGTTTCTGAATCTTCCATTGTAGTTTAGTATTAATAGGATCTTTGAGTGATTTGATCTTGCCAACGTATTTCCCCTTTTTGCTTGTATGGTCACACGATACTTTTTACACTTTTATGATACTTTTTACTTTAAATGCTACTTAATTTTTTTGCATTATCTCTGATATTTTGCAGCATTTCAAATCCTAAATAGCAGCACAGTTTAACATGGTGTTTATTTGACTCTGTCCATGCTTTTATTACTTCTATGTTCTGTTCCAAAGTGGTTGATCTTCAGCTTGAGAATGAGTGCCACTGTTTAATGAATGCTAATATGATGTTGTTATGTGATATTAAAATACTTTAAGTTAACATAACATCAAAGCAGCACAGCAGCCATGAAAGTCACTCGCAGAAGTTCCAGGGTATGTGAGCACCAGCCACGGATTAGATGACAGTCCCACAGTACGGAGGTGTTTCTATTGACCACGTAATACCACCCACAGCTGTGTGGCAATAACATAAGCATGGTCCACATTTCGCTCGACCTACCCACTTTAAAGTCATGCACTTTTTAACACAGTTTGAAGAGACTTGCATTATTTCATATATTAGTTATAAAACAAGACCTAGTTAACACTTTTAATGTCATATTGTTTCAAACTGATATAAAATACAGTTGCACAAAAATGCAACTGTATTGTATACATCAAGATACAAATCAGTAAACATCAGAGTCTTTGGGAGCAACATGAGAAATTCCATAGATAGAAAAGGCTTTGACGGTAGACATGATTTTCTTGCTTTATAAAACAGAATGAATTAAATGAATAGAGGATGTCATTGCTCTCTGCCTAGTTGCTATGGATACCATGTGTTAGAATTATATTCTCATTTATAATGTATTTTATTAGATTTTTCAATGGTAATGTGAACCCAGTATACATCAGAGGATAAAGCGATTTTGTTTATGTATACATTCTTCAGACTGACTTTAGAAATACTGAAATACCTTTTAAACATGTTCTTTGTAGTTCACCTGACTAATTTGCAGTAAGCAGTCTTCATTTACCTGAATTAACTTTTCTTAATTTGACTTAAAATGAAAGACTGATTTGTTTTTAAGTCCTTCTGTGTTCTCTTGTCCGGTGAACATACTCAGAAAGACTTTGTTATACATGGTTCTGTGTTAAATTCTCAGTTCATTTGCATCTCAGTTTCTTCACTGTGGGCTTCCCTGGCGGCTCAGACAGTAAAGAATCTGACTGCACTGCAGGAGACCAGGTTTGATCCCTGTGTCAGGAAGATCCTCTGGAGAAGGGAATGGCTACTCACTCTAGTATTCTTGCCTGGAGAACTCTATGGACAGAGGAACCTGGCAGGCTACAGTCCAGGGAGTCTCAAAGAGTCGGACACAACTGAGCGTCTAACACTTTCACGTTTCACTTTTTTTCTTCACTTTATTTTTCTTAGGGTTTGACATTTACTGCTGCAACTCATGTTGTGTTTGCTGAGTTGTACTGGGACCCTGGACATATAAAACAAGCAGAAGACCGTGCTCACCGGATTGGACAGTGCAGTTCTGTGAATATTCATTACCTTATTGCAAATGGGACTCTAGATACCCTTATGTGGGGAATGTTGAATCGTAAGGTAAAGCTTGAATTTAAACCAGGTTACCAGCGTACTCATAATTATCTATAGCTTGTATGAGTTAAGAGGCTGAGTTTTGGTGTTTTCAGGCAAAGCATATATATGTACACTAAGATGTTGATGTTGATAGAGACCAAGTCCAGTAAAGGCTTCAGTTGGTAATACTTTACCTGCTGTCCTTGGTAATAAGAGAGGGACATGAGTTTACATGTGTTCCTATTGTCTTCCAAGTCCTTCTCTACCAGTTTAGAGGCCAGCGGAGGATGAGCTAGTAAGGAAACAAAACATTTTCAAACCTCAAGTCCTTTTTGTAAGCTGAGAACATACACTTTCTCAAAAGGATTCTTGAACCTTGAGTGATTCTTGATCGCTAAAGCCCGTGATATGTTGAGAAAATAAGATTTTCTTTATTGGATTGCTTGTGACTTAAATGCAAAACCAGGTTACTGCTTAGTAAATGTCAGCTGTGAGGCAACCTGTCATAAAATCTGTATGCTTTTCCATCTCACAGGCTCAGGTTACAGGGAGCACACTGAATGGGAGGAAGGAAAAGCTTCAGGCCGAGGAGGGTGATAAGGAAAAATGGGATTTCCTGCAGTTTGCTGAAGCTTGGACTCCAAATGAAAGGTCTGAAGAGCTCAGGGATGAAATGTTGTTCACTCATGTAAGATTATATTCTTTTCTATTTTTTTTAATACCATGAAACTATGACTTTATCATATATTGTTTTAAGTAGCAATTTTTAATTGCTCATGCTACTGAAAGGAGTCTCCATGTAAAGGTGGAAAAGTTTTGAGAACTAAAGGATGACTTCGATATAAGGAGGCTGCAAGAGTGGTTTGTATTTTTCAACAGTAATAGATCAGTGCTCACTGTTCAGCTCCTTAGAAAAACAAGCCAAGTACAATTCTTGCCTTCAGGAGAAAATATGGGAGACTATCTCTGAGACCCTGGAGGTAGGGAAAGATATATTAAATTTGCCACAAAAAGTGACATACACAAGTCTCATACTCAGTAAAGATATTTTGCATTACAGTGTTCAAAGTATATAACTTTATACAATTCAGTTAGTAAAACAAACAAGCTAGTAGAAAAAATAGGCAAATAATGTGAGCATCAGAGGAGACTGGCCTGAACAGAGAAAACATGAAGAGAAACTAGCATCTCCAAAATAAGACAAATTTATAAAGGTACCCTTTTCTCTTTACAATTAGTACGTAATCTATGGTGTGATACTTTGAGATCACGTGACCATTACTGTTCCTAAAACCTTTCATGCCGCGGTTTTAGCATTCACTGATCTTTGACTGAAGCAGTTTTGAAATCGTGATTTTTTTGAATTCCACCATTGCTTCTTCATTAGCTGGCATTTTTTTTTGTAGAGAAAAGCTCATTTCCTCCTTTTTAAAAAATATCACCATGAACTTGGGATTCTGCTATTATTTAGTGTGTTATAATCTTGGCCTTTTTTTTTTTAAGATCTGGCTGGAGGAAACACCTTTATTTTATTGGGTTTTTGTTGTTGTTTGGGGTTTTTATTGAAGAATAGTTGGTTTACAATATTTGACTTCGTCTCAGATGTACTGCAAAGTGATTCAGTTATGTGTTTGTTTCAGATTATTTTCCGTTATAGGTTATTATAAGATATTGAATGTAGTTCCCTGTGCTATACAGTAGGACCTTTTGTTTATTTTATGTATAGTAGTTTATATCTGTGAAAATTATGCCATACTCCTAGTTTATTCCTCTGCACCCCCTTTCCTGTTTGGTAACCATAAGCATGTTATGGAACTGCTATGGGCCTTAGATCCACATACACAGATTAGAGTATTCCTTACTTCATAGGTTGTTGGCATTGAGCGATAGACATTGTATGAGAGCGAGCTTAGCCCAGTTCTGATGCTTGGTGAATACTCAGCTAATGGGCAAAAAAACGCAAACAGACAAAAATGCCTAACGACTTTCTTTTTCCAAATCAACTGTATTTTGTCAAGTGTTCCCAACATGTATCACACAGGCCCTGTCAAGAGGCAATGTAAAGAATTCGGAGGGCCGAATACTAGCAGCAAGGACTCTGGTGCTGGTCTGCCTGGTTCAGATCCTTTCTCTGCCACTAACTGGGGATCTTGGGAAGTCACTTAACGTCTGTGTGCCTTAGTTTCCATTTATTATATGTGGTGTGTGTGTATATATATATATATATACACACACACACCACCTATAAGTGATGTCATTTGATATTTGTCTTTCTCTGTCAGACTTACTTCACTTAGTATGATCATCTCTAGGTTCATTCATATTGCTGCCAATGACATTATTCTTTTTTTCATTAAAAAAATTTTTTTACAGTACATTAAATTTACTCATAAAAAGATTCTAAAAATGTATAATTTTTGCATCTTAACAAAGTATAGTAAAACATAAAAGCCCCCAAAACAGAAACTTGACATTTACAATTCAAAATCAAATTAGCAGGATATTAAATATTTACAAAACTATATCTTTTAAAAATATTTGTAAAGTTGCATGCAATTTTATAGAATTGACATAAAAGAATAGCTCAAAAATGGGAGAATTTTCCTTCATTCTTAAAAAGAGAATATGTCCCTTAGAAGCTTTGAAGATTCTTGAGTACACAAGGTATTCTATTGTGTGTATGTGTTTGTGTATGATGCATCTTAAACCAATCATCTGTTGATGGGCATTTGTGTTGCTTCCATGTCTTGGCTATTGTAAATAGTGCAGCAGATACACTGGAGTATGTGTAGCTTTTCTGGTTAGAGTTTTCTTCTTTCCTGGATACATGCCTAGGAGTGGGATTGTAGGGTTTATTATTTGTAGACTTTTTTAATGATGGCAGTTCTGACTGGTATGAGGTAATACCTCATTCCTACAACCATAATAGTTTCATTGCAAGGAATACATTCTTCTGCATATATATAAGGATACATGTACAAAGATGTGTACTCAGTGATCCTTTCTGGATTGCAAAAAATTGGAAACAACTAAAATGTCCATCAGTACGACAATGGCTACATCATGGTCACAAGATACTACATAGAAGTTAACATGAATGACTTAGGTTTATATGTATGAACATGACCATATTTTGAAAACATGATGTTATTTTTTTAATGCACAGCACACACAAATACAAATAATATTATGTATTTGTGGATACATATATATATAATAAGATATGTAAACATAGATTTGAAAAATACATATTAAATGTATTGCCTCTGAAAGAAGAGAAGAATGAGTCTAAGGAAGACAAAGTGTGGCAGCAGCTTTATCAGAAGTATTTTATTTTAAAAAAGTATCAGAAGTAAATATTGCAATGTTAGTATCTGTAAATTTTGAATGATGGGTATATGGATATTTGTTATATTGTCTGTATAATAACAAATGCTATTTGGAGGCCATGTGGAAACTGAATAAGAGATAATATATTAGAGGAGCATATCGTCATTCAAAGTGTCTTTTTCCTAGCTCTTCTGGTTCAATATGGTGTGAGAGTTAATGGGGAGTTTAATTGTAATTTTTGAAAGAATTGATCCGCTATTATAGGAATGAAATTGAAGTCTGTACACATTTTCTCATAATGCAAAATTAAAATTTTAATCTCAAGTTTAGTTCCATAAAATACATAATGTTTTTTATGTGGAACCTTATTACATTTTTTTATATGCTATTTGGAGGGCTAGTACATTTTTCTTTTCTAGGATACCAGAATGCCATTCTGTCACATTTGTTGTAAGAAAAAAAGAATTATTTCCGAGATATTTTTCTCTTATTTTAAAAACTACTTTTATTTTAGTAGTGTTTATTATGTTGTAATCTGATCTGTAAAAATCAATAGATATGCTAGGTATTTTAAAATATATATAGCTAAAACCATGATTTGTAGCCATTTTTCCTCTAAAATTTCCTGTTGAACTATGTCTGAGTTCCTTCCTAAGATAAATATTAAGAACTTAAAACACATGTTCCCACATATATATATATTTATTGTTTTTGGGTGTCTCCAAAGAAAATTATGTATCTGTGTACAAAGTTAAAAAAAAAAAAATCACCGCTCACCCTTAGAAAATCTTGCTTTTCTTGAATTAGGTGTTTATCTTTCAAAAGGTTAGTGTTAACTCACACAGATTTCTCAATGGTTTTGTATAGATGGGAATCTTGTAATGTGAAGAGACCATTTTATTCAATTTGCTTTGTTTTGCTTTGCATTTATTTCCTTGTTTGTTGGCCAAGGTGTGAAGTGTGTTTAGGTGAGGTAGCTGCTTATCCCTTTGTCTTTATACCCTCCAGTTTCATGTATCTTAAGAAATGTTCAATTTGTTGAGAAATCCTAAGGAAATTTAACCAACATGTTCTTCTGAGTGCTGCCAAAATTTCAGCATTTCCTATGGGAATTTTTCTATTTATACTGATGTCTTTCAGATCCTTTTTTAAAGCCTTTTTAAAAAAAGTTGCCTACATTTAGCATTTTTAGGATACTTCCAATTTTACCGATTAAACTTTGCCAAATTAACTTTGCCCACTGTCATCAAAAACTTGTTTAACTGAAATGTTGATAACAGTTCTAATTGGATGGTTTTTAATAGCTTATGAATATTTCTGTAGTGTCAGCCTTTTAAGGAATGTTCATTTTATCTCTGTCCTGGCGTTTGGCTGCTGCATCTGGAGGTTAGAGTTGGGGCAAAGAAGAAGGACCTCTCAAGGCTGGAGGAATAGATTGTGTGTGTTAGTGTGAGACTTGCCCAGGCTGTCAGCTTTAGAGTAAGGGAGACTGGGAGGCTCCGAGGAGCAGAGAGGGAACCTACAGGGCAAAGAGAGGATGAACTGAGGCAGGAAGAGTCAGGAGCCCCAGCTCCCTGGGTCCCTGGTTCACCGCAGTCTTCTTAACTCTTCTGGTTCATCACGTTCAAAATGTTGTAGACTCTAAAAATGATTTTTAGAAAGCCAGTGAATGTGGTACATTTGACAAATTGGTCTCCAGTGAATTGGGTTTCAGATGGACTGACATTTAGCATATGAAAGTGTTAGTTGCTCATTCGTGTCTGACTCTTTGCGACCCCACGGACTGTAGCCCATCAGACTCCTCTGTCCATGGGATTCTCCAGGTAAGAATACTGGAGCGGGTAGACATTCCTTTCTCCAGGGGATTTTCCTGACCGAGGAATTGAACTGGGACTCCTGAATTGCAGTTAGATTCTTTAGTGTCTAAGCCACCTTGGCTTAGTCTTTAGCACATGGGCTTTTGGAAAATTGGTTCTCTGTGGATTGATGAAGAGCAAATATCAGTGGATTATGGGTCCTGGGTTCAGGGAGACCTGTGATTGGGAAGAAGAGGAGGAACATGAAAGAATATTTTCCTGGAGAGAATTTTCATATTAGTTTGTTCTTTCTTATCTTCTTTCTCCCCTGGTGTTCATTCAAAATGACATTGGCATTATCTTTGTCTCCCTCCTCTCTTAATCAGAATACTTTGTCACAGAACTCAGCTTATTAAAAATGTATGGAACCAGGGCTAGCACTATACCAGTGTATATGAATACAACTGTTCTGGCTGTTAAATGTTAAGTATTTGGTAACAGTAAACAGCCACGTCTTCAATCCCTTCATGTACTCCCTCACCCACCACCTGGACCTCCCCAT